CAATATCATTCTCAGTGAGAACAGTTCATTCCAAGGCTTGATACGTGTGCCTGCTTTGATTCTACTTTGACCCTACTGCTGTTCGATGAACGTTGACATCAGAGGCTGCAAGCAAACGTTATTGACAGTTTTAATTTCATGGGTGTTGATCCCTTGTAGTACTCTGTCTGACTTATATTGCTTTGCACCAAAGTACATGCCATTTTGTCAAATGGTCCAGCCACTGCTATATTGAGGTACCCGAGTTAAATACATGAAGACCATATGCATTTGGCAATAAATTTTGTGGAGGTGCTGATGGATGGATGGATGGATGACTTGTGATAAAAGAACAGTTCAGGCTTTTGCAACAACATATTGCCTTGGAGCAGTAGCTATAACTGCAGCAGCCACAAAGAAACCAGAGATGTTGATCTAAGTTCTCCCTGTGCAGGAATCTTGATCACAGAATGTTATGGAAAATCATTTCTTAAAAGCAGTCAGGGTGGGATAAAGATTGAAAATGTACTGTGCACATTAAAATGATCATGTGAATGGGGGAATGAATAGTACAATAGCAGTAACAAAAAGTGAGTCTTGAGACGTCAGAAATCATTTATCGAAGATTATTTTGATTGCCTTTTTATTCAAGTGGTTTGAATTGACAGAACATGGGAATGTAAAGACCCCTGCAGTAATGATGGTTTAGCCTGGAGACAATTCAAGATTCTACTTCCAAGCAGACACACTGAATATTTGCAAAGGTGGGAAGTGCTTGTTTTGGCCGAGGTCCAGCCACTGGAATCAGTGGAATCAGTGGATACAATGGAATCATTGTAAAGTTAAAAATGAGGACAAGGATCTTAAACTCAATCCTCTGGGGGATGGGTACCTGTGAAGCCAGGCGAGGATAAGGATGATCAGCTCACGGAGCTTGATGTGGGAGAGGACACAAACTGCAGGGTTCTGAATAATCTGCAGCTTGTGTAAGAAGCTGAGAAAATAACCTCAGACCCAGAATAGGAATTAGTAAAAAAATACAGCAGGTGGAGTTGGCAGGGGAAGAGGAAAGCTAAAGAGAGCCTGGAGTGGATATGTTGATCTTCATTTAGAACCTGTAAAGTTAAAGCTGTTCTGAAAGATAAAATAAGGAATAACAAATTTAATGTTACATCACGGCTATCATTGTAACAATTCACAACTTGTGTAAGGAAGAACCCCTGAAACTGCAAATTTAATTTACCTCAGCGTGTAAATGTGTGTTCAGTTTAATGCCGGTGTCCATGTTGCGAAACTGTTCTTTTAGGAACAAAATTGACAAAAAAATTGTTATGCACCAGTAAAACAGTGACATATCAGATGTGTCGCTGTTTTGCGAATGCACAACGCACCTGCCTTGTCAGTTTTATTTCTATAAGAAGTTTCGCAATACGGAGTCTCAACAATTGCCTCATGGAGCATTCTTACTTTGGTTACACCTAACCCACTTCCGTCACCTATTGCCCCTTACTTTGGTTGCCACCCCATCCAGGTCCTTCTCCTACTGCGCAAGGTGGGGGGGGGGGGAAATCACTCCACTCCCTGCTGCCCCTTAGTCCTTCCTCCAGTAACTACCTTACTTTCTCAGTCCACCTCCTCAACAACTCCCTCTCTGTTATCTTTGCCACCTTGTCCCAATCAACTCCCGCACCACCTTCTACTACCACAAGTAGAAGGTACACCAGCCAACTCCACCCTATCACAGGTGTGTGTTGCTGAACGCACCTAACATAAATCCAATCTACTGATTTGTCTGGACTGCATCAAAATCCACCACTGATCGCAGCTAAATTGTGGTTCTATTCCAAGATCATACTGGAGGCCAAGGACCACCTCAGGCACCTCATCACCACAAACTAGCTTCTCGGCCCACCTTCCCATGTCTTGTCAATTCTCTCCTCCATCTGAGGAGGGATGATAGGACTTCCTCACGGGGAATCTGCTCTGCTCCCTCTGCCCTTGCTACCGCCACCCATCTCAACTAATCACGAGCTTCCACCTATCCCTTCTATCACATTTTTGATCCCCATCTCCCCCAACTTCCATCATTTTCTAAATGAAGCCCATCACCTGGTCCCTTGATCCTGTCCCTAACCTGCTACACCTCACTGAGCCAGTATGGAATCTTGGCAGCTTGTTCGACATAACTGTCCTTTAAACCCCACATTTATGCCCTGACCCATTCCGCCTTCCCCCACCTCTTGCAACTCCATGTCTCCGTCACTACGTCTCCCCTCAGTCTGGCAAGACTCATCTATACGTTCATCACATCCAGGCTTTACTATGCCAATCTCCTGCTCCCCGGACTTCCCAACTCTTCCTTGCACAAGCTGTAGATTGTTACAATGATAGCCATGATGTAATATTGGATTCACTATTCCTCATTTTATCATTCAGAGCAGCTTTAACTTTACAGGTTCTAAATGAAGATCAACATATCCACTCCAGGTTCTCTTTAGTTTTGCTCTTCCCCTGCCAACTCCACCTGCCCTGTATTTTGTTTACTAATTCCTATTCTGGGTCCGTGCTCGTTTTCTCTCTGGGTGCATGCTCAAGTTTATTTCTAGCCCCATCATATTTTTCTATCACCACCTATGTTCTCTCAATCTCTGCTTTGTTCTGCGGTCTCTCTACAAAACTCTCCTTCTCACACCTGAAATGTAATGTGTCTCTTGATCGAACTTTAATGCATGCACTTTTGAAGGGCACCTCTAATAAAATTTAGTTGTCTTTTTTTAAAAAAAAACTCACTGCAATGATATTTTCTACCTAATTTATAGATGACTGTCTTGATTCGTTCTTTTTACCTTTTCCCTGCAAAACTACCCAAATTCCATTACATTTGAATAGCGCCTTTCACATTGGGATGATGTCCTAAGGCGCTAGATACTCAAGGATTTGTTCCTGAGCTGGGGGGTCGGGATCGGGGAGAGTGGAGGGCAAGGAGGGTAGGATGGTGGGCAAAGGCTCGATCGAAGAAGAAGGTTTTTAGACATGCCTTGAAGCAGACAAGGAAGAGAGCGAGGCAAAGGGAATGTGGGATGAAGTTCCATATTTAAGGAAAGTGAGTGAATATTTCGGGTCCCTCGTGGACCCGAAACGTTGACTCACTTTCTTTTCTCCATAGATGCTGCCTGACCTGCTGAGTGTTCCCAAAGGCTTCTGTTTTCATTTCAGATTTCCAGTATTTGCAGTATTTTGCGTTTTGTTCCATATTTAAGTTTTCTTTACTCCTGGATAGTCAATTCCAGCCAGTGCATGTCCATAAAACTTCCTAGACCCTGGGAAAGGACTGAACAGCAAATTAGCTTTGTTCATAGAATCCGATAAGACTCTGCCGGTTACAGAAGTGCTTGGGGGAGGGTGAAAGCTAAAAAGGAAAATTCCTTTTCATCATATCAATTGGTTGCGGATAATGTTGCTAGCAGGTTGAGCTTTGAAGTGATCAGAGTTATAATAACATTACTAATAATAATTCTTGCATTTGATATAGCGCCTTATCACAAAAAAAATTATATTCGCATCGTGCCTTTCACATCTTCGAGGTGTTTCAAAGCGCTTCACTGAATATTCTGTAAAGTGAATTGACTGTATTTTGTGGGCAAAAGCCAATTGTGCACAGCAGTGTCCCACAAACAGTCATGGATTGAGTGACCAAATTATTATTTTTTTAAGGAAGTATTGCCCCGGGAAGAACGATCCGCCAACCGATTGACAGTCGGGTTCCTACTTACTGTTAGGTAAACAGAGACGTGTGGAGTAAGAACTTGCTCAACATTTTTCGCTGACCGGGAATCAAACCCAGGTCTCTAGCTTGCAAGGCGAATGTTCAACTGTTAAGCTACAGGACTCCTTCCATTTGATATAGCACCTTATCACATTGACGATATCTCAAAGTGCTTCCTGGATATACTGTAAAGTGCGATGACTGTATTTGTGGACAAAACTAGGTAGCCAATTGCGCACAACAATGTCCCACAAATGGCAATGGAGTAAGTGACCGATTTTATTTGGGGGATTGTTGGCCAGGACACTGTGAGAAACTCCCCTCTTCTTTGTTGAAGAGTGTTATGGGATCTTTAACATCTACCTGAACAGGCAGTTTAAAGTCCAAAGGTGGCACCTCCGAAAATGCAACCCCTCTCCAGGACTACATTGGAATGTCAACTTAGACTGTGATTCCAAGTCCTGATGTAGGGCTTGAACCTTCTACCTTCTGACTCGGAGGCAAGAATGCTAACACATGTTAAATTCATGTACATTTGAGATAAATGGACTGAAGTTCTCCAATGCTTGATGAAAATCCATGTACATTTTAAAGATTTACTGACTAAATTTGAAAAATTAAATTCGCAGGTCAAATTTAGCAGAATTAAGCTTGGTTGGTTTGAGCCTGTCATTCCCATCCTTGCTTTGCTGCACTGGCTCAGAATCCCCTGGAAGATCAGAATCAAGATTCTTGTTCTCACCTTCAAATCCTTTCATGGTTCTGAGCCACCCTACATCTGCGACCTCCTTAAACCCGACCAACCCTGCTGCTCCCTTTAGTGTAACAAACACTGTCCTGTTTCATATCCCCTGTCCTATCCAACCCATCATTGGACTTTCAGCAATTTTACCTCTGGTCTCAGGAATTCCATCCTGGAGTTCTTCTGAGGTGCTCCCTCCTGCCATTTGAGGTCTGTCTCAAGATATATGCTTTTCAACATGTTTTCATTCATCTTTTTCCTTCTCGCCTTTCAGCCCCCAGATCCCCCCCAGCTATATAAATGTACTGTTTCATTGACTTAAGGCCGTCGTTTTGGACAGCTCCCTCAGCCCTACCATCTTCCTTAAACCCCAGAGTTCAGGCTACCAGTCAGCTCTGAGAATCACTGTTTGCAATGTCCTCTCAATGTGAACGGCATAAATGTACAAATGTTGTCAATGACGACCCGGTCATTGTTATCTTGTTGAAGTTAAACCTAGTCTCTTTTCTTCAGATTCCACAAAGAAACTTAAAGATGTTCTGGAAGAATTCCATGGCTCTGGTGTGCTGGCAAAATACAATCCTGAGCAGGTAATCACATCCTTATCTTCCTTTAAAAAAAGTCAAATGTTTCTAATGTTCACTTTGCTGTCATTTATGTCTCTTGATCTGGCTCCTCTAGGTGGTACAGGTGATGGTTGTTCTTCAATACCCTGCTCAAGTGTAGTTTTTCATGTGAATGTTGGCAGTGAGTGTTGAAAGCCACTTAGCTATAGAGGGTGTCACAGGTGATCCTGTCCTCTTCCCACCTGCCTGTCACACATGCATGCAACCAGGAGATAGAGCTGTAGGGGGACCACAGCAAGAACTCTGGCTGTTTTTTCTCTGCCCAGCCATGGGAAGGTTGGAGCCAATCGAATCTCCCCATGCAACCCTGGCTGAGATTGGCAAACTTAGTATGGACCACGATTTGAACAAGTGAGATCCTATTCAATAAGCTGCAGCTCCATCCAGGGCATCATCAGGGCTTCACCCTACCCCCAATAGGCTATTGCTTCCATCCTCCCCAAGCCCCACTGGCTCACTCTCCTGCAGCAAATCAACTTTAGGACCCTCATCTTTACCCTGACCTTTAGGACCCTCATCTTTACCCTGATGCTTCCATAGCCCCACACCACCCTATTTTGGATATCTTATGACCCTAATTCCCCGGCCGTTTAGGTACTAGCTTAGTTCAATTGGTAGCACTCTTGTCTGATTTCAGAAGGTTCTGAGTTTGAGCTGTTCTCCCGGTATGAAAGATGCTCATTAGGTGTAGTTTAAATGGATGCTTTGGCAATTCAGATGGGTCTTTGTTTTCATTGCTTACAGTTGATACAAAGTGCTGAACCTAGTGGAAAATCTTTAGCTCAATCATTGTCACAGTAGCTTCATTATCTGTGAAATATTGGTGAAAATGAGCATTGTTCTCAGGGAAAACAGAACACGCCTAAGACTATATACTTTTTTACGGACGTGCAGAAATTTTTCTTTTTTTGGTGAGCGGTAGATAGAAAGAAGCATTGAATATCATTAGTGGTATTGCATACTGTATTTTTCCTCCAGTGAGTTTGAAATTGTTATGTAATGGGATGTTAAAATAAACTGTTGCTTTCATTACCATTTGTTGACCTGTGTTTTTTTTTTTGAAAAGTCAATACTGCCCAACAATCTCTTCAGTTTGCCAGCTTTTATATGAGCTAGGATATTGGAGTGATTAGATTAATTTCACAACATGTACTGGAAGGATAAAAAAGCTTCTGCTTCTGTCCCTGGAGTGAGTTCTGAACCCAGAGAACGGCATTGCATTTTGTGGAGTCTTTAGGCAAGAAGATTTATTGGAGCTGTCTGCTCTGCAAAGTCACTGGACCGTAATAATAAGATCCTTGCGTCTGATAGAGCACCTTATCATATCGTGAAGCTGTCTCATAGCGCTTCACGGGATTTTACTGTGAAGTGTAATGACTGTATTTGTAGGCAAATGTGAAAGACAACTGGCGCACAGCAATGTCCCACAAACAGCAATAAAGCGACTGACCACTTTTATTTTGGAGGATCATAAGCAAAGACACCAAAAGAAACTTCGCTTTTCGAATGGTGCAATGGGATCTGTGATGGTCACCTACGCAGGCAAGCGGGACCTCGGTATAACTCCTCATTTGAAGGACGCCACCTCCAACAATGCAGTGCACTGCCAGCACTGCATTGGAGTATCAGTCTAGACAATGAATTCAAAGACCCGATATGAGGCTTGAACCCGCAACCTTCAGACTTGGAGATGAAAATGGTCCCAACTGAGCCAGACTGCCGCTAGAACAATTTGTGTATAGCACCTTTCATATTGGGGGGATACATAGTTACTGACTTCTGCAGCAGTTGTTGGGCATGTTGGAATATCCACCTGTTTGACTTCCCCCTTCTCCCTCCCTTCTGTTACTGAAATTTTACGTCACTTGGCTTCTCCTCACCTACACACTGCCTGCTTCTGCAACTATCTCACCAGCCAGTCTGCCAAGATTCTCATCCGTAATTCACCAAGTCCAACACCCTGCTTACAGGACTCCCCGGCTCCTCCCTGCACAAGCTGCAGACATCAAGACCGCTGCAGCTCCTGTTCTCCCCTGTACCAGATCTGTGAGCCCATCACCGCTTGGGTCCACTGACTCCCCATCCCAGCAAAGACAGAATTTAACATCCTCGTCCTCAATTTTCAAATTCTTCCACAGCGTTGCCTCACCTACCCTGAGCCACCTACTGACACGGCTGCTCCCTTGGTTCTGTAAACACTGCCCATGGTGTCACCCTGCCCAATCAACCCCACCATTAGTCTTTGAGCTTTCAGCCATTTTACTCCACTCTCTGCAATTCTACCCCAGAATCCCTCCCTCTGGCTTTCTCCCCCGCTCCCCAATTTCAAAACTCATTTTGACCTAAATATTTAGTCACCATCGTTTCCCCCTCCATCGTTTTCTTAGATCACAGTTGACCAGTAACTCAATACCATTTGCTGACCTTTCCTCCCCACAAACACCCTGCTGAATTCATATTTTTCAATGTGCAACATTATGAAATTACCAGTCACTTTGCCATTAGATCCACCTTGCAGCATTGCTTGTCCTCTGGCTACCGACACCTGCCTTTTTCCTGCACCATGCAAGGGTCCCTGCTGTAGCTTGTGCGAGAAGGGAGAGAATGGCATTTGTTGTGATTTGGCAATTCTTCTGTGCAATGATTTTTTAATCCTTGAAATCCTTTACGTCAGCAATTAATTTTATATAATTGTCACTCAGAGGAGAGAGAATCATAGAATTTTATAGCACAGAAGGCCATTCGGCCCAACACGCCTGTGCCAGCTCTTTGAAAGAGCTAACAACTATTTCCAGTCCTCTGCTCTTATCCCATAGCCCTGTAAATTCTTCCTTTTTAAGTATCTATCCAATCCCCTTTTAAAAGCTATTATCGAATCTGCTTCCACCACCCTTTCAGGCAATGCATTCTAGACTGTAACAGCTCTCTGGGTTTAAAAAAAACTCCTCTTCTCCCATTTGGTTGGGAATTAGGGGGGAATGTAACAGGGTTTTGGGGTCTTTTATAGGGTTTTGGGGTCTTTTATAGGGTTTTGGGGTCTTTTATAGGGTTTTGGGGTCTTTTATAGGGTTTGGGGGTCTGTTATAGGGTTTTGGGGTCTTTATAGGGTTTTGGGGTCTTTTATAGGGTTTTGGGGTCTTTTATAGGGTTTTGGGGTCTTTTATAGGGTTTTGGGGTCTTTTATAGGGTTTGGGGGTCTTTTATAGGGTTTGGGGGTCTTTTATAGGGTTTTGGGGTCTTTTATAGGGTTTTGGGGTCTTTTATAGGGTTTTGGGGTCTTTTTAAGGTTTTGGAGTAAAAGATTTTACCGGAGGAAGAGACGTACAGACACAAATGGTTTAATCAATGGAAACACAGGATGCTGTGCTGAAGGAGGCTCAGGCACTGGCTCAGATCTTGGCATTGTCCAACCCCCAATTACCGCCAGCCACCCACCCTCAGCACACACAGTCAGCTCCTGGGGTAGGGCAACCAAGCCTGGAGACTGTTACAGCAGTTTCAGAACTTGCTAATGTTGAACCCATCTGAAAATCCACTCACTGTTCTCCTCGCTAGAGAGAGAAATCTGATTGTGGAGACAAGTGTGCAGCAAAGCAGAACTCCGAAACCCTTTCCGCTTAATAATGAGATTTTGATGCTTCTGGCAAAGCAACAGTTAGACGATGACTGGAGTAACAGCAAACTCTGTTGTGTGTGAGGAGCAAGAAGAAATCACTAAAGAACCAGATGGAAAAGGAGGAGTAGTAGCTGAAGGAGGAGATGGAGTTGGAGACATCGCAGTGTGAGGACAGACAGGATGATCAACAGAGATCATTCCACACCTTCAGCAAGAGCAGCTCCCTATTGAGGATAAAGACAGATATGGAGGAGTTGACGAGGAAGAAGGAACAATTGCTCACAGCCCTCAGCAACTTCCTGGATGAACATTACTCCCTCCCCAGCCTGGGGTGCAACAGCAGAAACTGTTCAAAGGTAGGGAGGAAAACTCACCCCCACTTCAGACGTTCCATGAGATTTTGGAGTTCCTCATGACCCAGACCTTAAAGATGCCCCAAGACCCCTACGTGGCGATGGACAATTCGTTCTGGCCTCCTTACATGGAAGCTCTACTCCGATATGGAATTGCCATCAGACATTATGAAAATCCAAACTGCATTCCGTCTCGAGGCAATCAATTAACTCATTTCCTCTCTCTCTCTCTCTCTCTCTCCCTTCCTCCCTCTCTCCCAATCTCTCTATCCCTCCCTCCCTCTCTCTCTTCCTCTATCCCCTACCCCTCCCGCCATCTCAGTGGTTAGAGCACTCGCCTTGTGAGCGAGAGACCTGGGTTTGATTCCCTGCAGGATGAAACATTGGCCAAATTTCCTTACTCCACACACCTGATAATTATCCCTCAAGAAAAAAAAATAAAATGATACTTTGGTCACTCAAACCACAACTCTTTGTGGGACAGTGCTGTGTGCAATTGGCTGCTGCATTTTGCCCACAAAATATACATTTTGTGAAGTGCTTTGAGATGTCTTGAAGACGTGAACAGCCCTATATCAAATGCAAGTATTATTATTGGTTCTTTTGCCAATTATCTTAAATCTGTGTCCTCTGGTTAGGAAACAGTTTCTTCCTATTTATGCTATCTAATCCCCTCATAAATTTGAACACCTCTATTAAATCTCTGCTCTAAGGAGAATAATCCCAACCTTTCTAATTTCTCCACGTAATTGTAGTCCCTCGTCTCTGGTATAAGATGAATTTCTTATTTTCCATTCTTGATTGAGGCTTAACCATGCAAGATATGATAGGTTAGAATTTCTACCAATGATTTCATTTCCTGAGAAAATATTAAAGTTTTCATGTTATCCCTTTTTTTAGAAAATGGGTCATGTTTTTAAACTGTAAAGTCCAGTTCAGTTCTGATGACACTCAACTCTACTTCTCCACCAGCTTTGAACCCCAGTCCTCTGATG